CTCCTTTTGTTATCCACTTTGACATTTAAACCAGAAGGCTTGAATCTTCATAAGAGGCAACTCCGTTCCGGACCTTTCCGTCCCAATTCAACTCCTGCATTTATGACAATAACTATTACGTAGAACATCAAAGCATATTATATAATCCTGCAACATTCTCATATATGTGAACATGAAAATGTTCTAGTAATAAAATAAGAACAATAATTTAATATCCTTAATGTTCTTTTTGGGGTTAATTAAATCTACTTTCCTGATAAACATTGATATACTTATATATAATTAACTAGGAACTGGGTGTGCACTTCACTGCTGTCAAACATGTTCATTCTATACGTATGTTTGTTGAATGTGAATACACTGAATACATGAAATAACATAGACTTACTAACTTGAAATTAACACATATTTTAAAGCAACGCTGTATGTGTCACTTAGTGTATCGAAGACGAGATGATTTACTATGTTATTATAGAAGAATTAATGTTTTATTTTACTGGTTTCCACATGCAGGTAGTGCGTAATCGATAGTCAATGGCACTATTTTCTCTATAGAAGTCTTTATTGCACAAAAGTTATACAGCTCTTCTATAGAAAGAAAGAAGCTTATAGTTTGGCCAACATTTCCTACAATACAATCCAAGTATTAAACCTGACTTTTAGATAAGGATATTTTGCCATTTTAAAGTCATTTGAAGGAAACATTTCTCACTACAAAATTCACAGTATCTTTCTTTCCTCGTGTATTATCTAGCGTTTAGAATTTTATTCTTTATATAGCGTTCCATTCAATATCTTTGGTAGAGGAGTTTTTATTTAGTTTGTTTAGATACTCAGAGGGTAAAATATATTATCTATACGTATGATATGATTGTACCAGCTTATACAAATACATGATAAATGAGTTATCTAAATACATTCAACCATATAAAAGAATATAAAAAGGCATTTCAATAATGCAAATGATTAAACTGACAAGATGCAGACCTTTACAGTGAAATAATATTTTGTTCATATATAAAAAAAAGCAAATGTTCAGAATGTTTCCATTTCACCTTACAGGCGAAAGAAAAAAGAACTCGAAAAATACGAAACCGTTGTAACATCGGATATTTTGTATAAACCTAAACTAAATACTTCTAGATACATGCCGCTTTCATTACTGAATAAAAACCTACATCAGGCTGGCAACACCTTTGATAATACTTTCCAAGAAAACAATTTCATACCTATGTTTACAATTCAGTTTGTTAGCGCAAAACCATTTGATATCACTTAAAATGAGGAATGAGTATACACACGCACTCACAAAAATACTGAGGTGATATTAAAGTTAGAAGAATTTATATAGTTAAAAACTTAAAATAATTATTTAAAATAAAGCTGATAATCTAAGCCCGCCAAAATGTTGATATCATGAGATGTGTTTAAGTTCTGATAATATGAGATATAAACTCTTCATATTTTGTGAGAAAAGTCGATTTTGATCTTCGTTTCCTTCATTTATATATGTTTTGTGCTCACATATTCAAAGCCAATTAAACGGGGAAAATGACGGATGATAAATTGCAGTTTAAATGAATCAATGTAAAAAAAAAAAAAAGTTTCATAAACTGTACACATTTGTACGAGATTTAAAGCACATTTCAAATAATCAATGATTTCGTGACTTTTTAATTAGATACCAGAATTTCATCTTCTTTCATTATAATGTTCCAAACATTTACAGACACAATCATTCGTTCAGAAAGACGAAATGTGGTAATGGGTTAGTCGTCCATTATTCAAGAGTAGTTTTTTTTTATGCGCAGCGTTTAGACAACAACTCATACTTACTGGCCATTATATTATGCATCTATTTAATACTTGATTAGACCATTCTTATTGCGAAAAAATCCTGGGCTTCGCATGACATAGATTTCACAAAATACAAGACGGAGTTTCGATCCCTTTGTAGATCATTCGTTGACGTGTGTGATGTGCAATTGGTTTCACCAATGTCGGCAGAGGAATATGATGACATAAAGCTACACAAGGGGCTATCTGTGCTCTGCCCAACACGGGTATCGAAACCCGGTTTCTAGTGGTATAAGTCCGCAGACATACCGCTGTGCCACTTGGGGGCATGATGACGAACACAACGTTGAAATTCATCTCATGGATTGTAAATAGGATTGAGATCTGATGACTGTGCTGGTTAAGAAAGGTGTTTAAGTCACTGTAACGCTCTACGAACTAATTTTTTACAATAACAGCGCAGTAGATTGTTGTATTATTGTTTTGGAAGAGCTCTTGTCCATCAGGGTGAACATCATCAACACAATCATTCATGTACAATATAGATGTTACTACTCTTTTAAGAATTCAAAGGACTTAGCACCTACCATGAGAATGTTCGTTACGCAATTACACCATTTCAAACAGCTTGACTGTCGGAGCAACACAAGCTGTGTCACGTTCTTCAAACAGATTAGTCCATCTTATTCTCTACTTTCAGTGCATAGAAATTGAAACGTGATTAACCAGGCAACATAACACGCTTCCTGTTATTTATTGCCCACATTTTGTACTCTAAGCACAATTGAGGCTTCTCATTTCGGTTTGAATCTGAGATAAGCGCTTTCAGGACTAGTAGTAAGTTGCTATAATACACTTTTTACAATGTACTTTGCTCATGGTAAATTTGGTATTAGTTGAAAGAATCTGCCATCTGTCGTCTGTTGAGTGTTAGATGCCTATTAAATCAGTTTGTTCTCTCAGTCACTTCCAACACCTGGCGGTCAGAGTTTCTTCAAGAGACAGATGTATGACACTTTAGTTGCTACTGTTATAAAATATGATAGCATATGTTTTGGAAACCTTATAAAAAGGTAATTGATAAGTTAGCTTCTGTTAGACTAGCAGCCCTATTAGCCTTTTAGAAATTATGAGGGAGCTTTGTTCTTACTCATTGTCTTACAGACTAAACCACGATGTAACATTTCTGGATTTATGGGGATCAAGGAATCATCTGAAAAACAACAAGAACAACAAAAAACAAACATACATAAATGATCTCTGGATTTATGGGGCTCAAGGAACCATCTGAAAAAAACAACAACAAACACACACAAATGATCACTCTATTTTTCATGTGCAAATAAACAATGTTCTGCAAAGGGAACCATGAGAAACTGACCAACTTGAAATTCAGAACTCTTAAGTTTAAAAACAATACACAAGTTGAATATATGACTATCACTTTCAGTTCCTAGTTCATATTGAAATCATGTGGAAAGCTTATATATATTTTCCATTGCCATTATATTTAAATTGATTTAATTGCAACTACCTACTTAGTTTAGCATAAAACTATCTTTACTTATGGTGTGTTGAAGTTTAACTTACCATAATATTATCAAAATGATTTCATACATTATCGCATATACTTTATCTTTCGTCCACTGTCCAAAATTCTAACGAAATCCATTGAGGTTATAAATGCTTTGACATAAAAACCACATTTACTATTAATTCATTTGAAAAATCGTAGATGTTAAATAAAATAATCAAATATATATAATAAGACTATAAATTATTATTGATTCAGAAAACCTTAATTCTAAAATTAATTTCGGTATTTAATAATGTTGCGAAATTTCTTCTAGTTTCTTTGATATAGTTTAATTCCTGAAAAATACGTAAGATATTATATGATTAAATACATCGACTGAAAACCAATACGTATGAGTTTATACCAGAACAAATTTGTTTTAAGAATGAGACAGCAAGAATAATTACCTCAGTCAAAAACATTATAATATCATAAAGCTAATATACTTTCTCATATGTTATTTATCCTATTTAATTTTAACAACTGCAGATAAAAGGTTTAAAAAAAGGCACATATGAGAACCATCTTCATTGTAATACATAAAAAGCTGTATGTAAAAGTCCAAGAAGTGTAAAAATATATATATTCACGTTTATCTGTACAGTAAACTGTAAATGCAATGAGATTAAAGGAAAGTAAAAACGTTCAATTAATGATGATAATGAAGCTTAAATAAACTAACAGATAAATATAATACATTTATTTTGTGATACAAATTGCTGACTTAGTTGGTAAATCTAACATAAACTAAAATGATGTATTTATTATTAGATAAATAAATAAGAGACTGTCAGAGAAAAAAGTTGTATTAAAAAGAGAATTTCAAGCATATATTAAAAATCAGAGTTTTAAAAATTAAAGAGTAAAATAAAACGCTATGACATAATTATTTTTGTAATGCATGGCTAGAGAGGATGAATTCATTTCGTTTATTTATTCTTTATAATAATATCAGGTTTGTCATTGGTATACATCACGAGTTTTTACCACTTACAGAAACAAATATGATCATTGGACGAGTGTCTAAATTTGCACGAAACGAAATAGGTTGATAAAACAGTAGTAATAATGGATTTCAAATGATAACACAGGCCTGCGATGGTTTTATTGTCTTGACATTTTTACACGTTCTATAGTAATTCCTATACGCTCAATTAATTTTTCTCCATCAGGTACAGATTTTTCACAAAGCGCCATAACGCAATACATTGTTTATTTGTAATTGAGCACAAAGCTACACAATGGGCTATCTGTGCTCTGCCCACCACGGGTATCGAAACCCGGATTCTAGCGTTGTAAGTCCGCAGACATACCGGTGTGCCACTGGGGCAACGCAATACATAAAAGAAATACCTCAACATGTAGTTTTTAGACTAAAAAATGCAGATTTCACATACACACACAACAATCAGGATGAATAAGGATCCATATTCATTTGACATCAATGTTCTTCCCTTTTCTTCAGTTTGTTTGTATTTTTGTTAATAATCATAATAATAACAAAATATTTATTGTTGTAAGCGAAATAATAATTTCATCTATGTAAGAGTTTTTTCTTCCCGATTTGTAAAAAATTATTACGTGATAAAAAAAATGAATATTATTTTCGAAATCTATATAGCTGAATTATAGAAAATCCGTTATTAGAATCAAGACAACTTTTATGAAGTTTAAAATCGCAGGCCTGTGTTATTAGGAACTAATTAGAAATTACTCTGCTCTAGTTTTCTGTTGATCTATAAAGAACATTAAGAGGTTGTAGATATCTTATTCTCCTATATCCAAGATGCAAACGAAAGTTTTGATTTTAAAATAAATTCACCTTTTGAAGTAACTAAACGTTTCAAGCAACATATTTATATGATATACGTTCTAAGTGCATGCTGTAGCTCAATGGTGTATTATCTACAAGTTGTGAATAAATACGTAGTTTAATACTTAACATATAAATACTTGCTTGTCTCTTTTACTTTGTACTTCCGTCTGTTGTTACGAAAGAAACAGTTTGTACTCCGATAATAAATGAAATATATTAAATAATACTAAACGTTGAAAAAGCAAAGCTATCAGCCTGTGATTATTTTTAAATATTGCAATTCTCTCATGCATTAGTGGTTGTCACAAAGAAGAAATCAAAGTACCTAAGCCTAAGGATATATATATATATATATATATATTCAACATCAGCAACTGAAACAACAGTATATTTAAAAATAACACTCATATTTTTTTGGAATAAACTTGACAACATTCAACAATGGGAACAGAAACACATCAGCTGTCGTAATTGCTACTATTTTCCTAACTAGCTTCCTCATCTAAGCACATGATTCTCTGGCACTGTCCACGTCGAGTGTTAATAACTTGTCTTCAAAATGTATAGGAAAGCCCAACTACCCATGACAGGACATATTTTCTGTCCTCTTTCTTTTTATTATTATCAGCTTATCAAGCACTACGTCGGCGTTTTCGTCAGTCAGCATCGTAGATGATCACTTCGTCGGGTCGTTTTTCTTGTAAACAATCGCGGATGACGTCCAATATTATTCTAAGTCGCCGGTCTAAGGCTAATAAGTGGGCTTCCGTTAAAACAGGGTTAACTGGATCCTTACTTAGTGACTTCCTCATGAGGCCACTGAGTCTCTCTGGCCCCAGATACAACTCCAACATTCTCATCAGAGTAGACTGACGAATGAGACAACATTGGTATATCGGAGCGAGGATTGAAACCTCATCATAATGGGGCTTTCCGAACCTAGAAGTTTAAACAAAACGGTTTCAGTCTGGTAGCTTCATAACGACAACAATTGTTATCCAAAACTAAACTATTAATTACATATCCAGCTTCCCGAATTTTCGCGGTTTTCTACAATAACGAGGGACATGTTTAAACAATACCTAGAAACCCATGATGAGATAGAAATGTTTAAACAAGAAATGAAAACTAACAAGGTAACATTACTTTAAAATCATTTTACTAAATGATATGGATCTTGAAGAGCATATTTCTACTGTGTGAACATTATTCAGTCACAAAACACAAAATCATCAAATATCATCTTTTCAAGCATGTTCAAATCGTCGATAAAACCATGTTCTATCTTACCTTAAATTTTGGAATATGATTAACTCTATTAAGATAAGACATAAGAATCCGGTAAAAGTAGTGATTAAGATGTTTTAATCACTTTCATGGGAAGTTTAAAGAAACTAAACTTTTAGGAAATTTCTGGGTGAAGCAAATTCTTCCGGCCAGTTATCGTTATCTCCAAGCTGAACAAACAGTTATTGTTATCTCCAAGCTGAACAAACAGTTATCGTTATCTCCAAGCTGAACAAACAGTTATCATTATATCCAAGCTGAACAAACAGTTATCGTTATTTCCAAGCTGAACAAACACTTATCGTTATCTCTAAGCTGAACAAACAGTTCTCGTTATCTCCAAGCTGAACTAACACTTATCGTTATCTCCAAACTGAACAAACAATTATCGTTATCTCCAAGCTGAACAAACAGTTATCGTTATTTCCAATCTGAACAAACAGTTATCGTTATCTCCAAACTGAACAAACAATTATCGTTATCTCCAAGCTGAACAAACAGTTATCGTTATCTCCAAGCTGAACAAACACTTATCGTTATTATCAAGCTGAACAAACAGTTATCGTTAATCCAAGCTGAACAAACAGTTATCGTTATCTCCAAGCTGAACAAACAGTTATCGTTATCTCCAAGCTGAACAAACAGTTATCGTTATCTCCAAGCTGAACAAACAGTTATCGTTATCTCCAAGCTGAACAAGTGATTTTTCTAAATTTTATAAACCCAGTAAGAAAAGTTGGTATTTCACTCAGATATAAAATGGCTCTTTTCAAAAAGGTTTGTTAAGAATCACAACAGAGGGGATGACACTTAGTAACAAGTTAAATCAGTTAGATATAAGTATGATTTTGCTCTATTCTAAAATACTTCGAAAAACTTCACATTTCTCAACCAAACTTGTTATCAGAGAAAACCTATATATTCCGTAGATTTGAAACCTACAAAATTCGATAATGGCAAACGTAAAATCACCGAAGTAAAAATTTAACTGTTTGGATAAGTAGGACAGAAATCTTCAGGAAACGAGTATCTCGAAAGAAATGGGTAATAAAAAAGACAACGCATCAGATACTGAGATATTTTGTCTGGTTTTTCTATGTAACAAAAAGAAATTAATTTTATTCAGTAAACAATTTATCGTTATTTGTCCTATCACAAAAGGACATTCTGTGAAACTGATATAAGCACTAACAAAGTTCTGTAATAAAACATATTTTTTAATACAAACCAGGCAGACAAATATCCAAAAGGGAGAAGAAACTAATATTTTCTGAACATGACATCAAGAACAATTTAATTCGACAACTGATGATAATACTTTTACAATAAATTTAGTGAAACTGACAAGAAATGGAAAAAAAAAGTCATGAATGAGTACCAATATCTACATAAAAATAGACTGTTACATAAATCAGTATTATATATTATGTGACTGTAGATGAGAAAAATGAATGTCATTCAAAATGGGAAATGAGAAAAGGAAGTGGATGAAATACGACCATTCACCTAAAATAAATCCCTTTCAGCTCATTTCCTAAAAAGAAAAAAAAAAACACCTAATAATTTTAATTCACAAGTTTTAAGGTGTTAATAAATGATGTTATACGTTCCTTAGCACGTGCATCACGAGTACTTACCCTCGTCCATGGTCCAAATGTAACGGAAAACTGTCTTTTCCAAATATTTTAAATGTTTCATAGTGATGTCTGTCCATGTTTCCTGGGGTAAATAGAATACAATATTAATAGTTCAGAAGTTGCCTACGATTCTAATCCATATCAGACATGTCAACTTGTAATTTTGATCTATAAAATAATCGAATAATCAATACACCGTACTTTATCGTACACAAAGGAAGGTACGACACTAAGAGCACTAAATTCAGAATACGTTATTTTTTATATGCTTTGAAATCGTGAATTTTGAATTAAGTTCACTGTTATAAGTAAAACAGACTGATTAAGAAAAAAGTAACAAATTTTAAAAGTAAAAATATACACGTTTGTTTCTCAAATCGAAAATTTCATCTGAAGTGTAAGTTCTTATATATTTCGTTAACTACTAGACTGTTCATGTATTACATGCTATTGCTTGTATATATATATATATATATATATATGTGTGTGTGTGTGTGTGTGTATTTGTTTGGTGATAACAAGGGTTTAGCAATACCAAAATCATACCTACCGAGCTTGCTCACTGTGTTAATTACTCATTTGAAGTTATAATACCAATTTCATACCAGTCGTGCCTGCTCTCAAAACTTCTCACACTGTTTAGTTCTTATAGACTACTAAGCTCGTACATACAGTATTTATTACCAATTCAAATGTTAGTTCCATGTTTGATTTACTAAACAAGTTAATATCTAATTTGAAAAAATAGGTTTATACTTTGGAAAACTATTGTCATATTTAGCGAGATTATCAGCACCATGTGCAATAAATCATTGTGTATCAATTTAATAGAAATGTTTTAGATTTTCTTATAAAAATCAAGTTGCAAGTTAAATCTGAATATAAATATAACATATTAATATACTGAAGAGGATACTAATCACATAAAAAGAATTTGATCTTTCTTAAGATTGCACAGTAAATATTGTTTCCATGAGCTCTATTAGTACCATTTCTAATACTTAATTCATTCGACCGATATAGAGAATCTAAGAAACTAGCATGCGGTATCCATACGCATCAGCAGATTGAACTTTGGTTAATGAATATAACTCTCGTTTATCATAGAAAACACATATTTTACATTTCTTTTAAACCATTAAAAAAATACCTATTAAAAAATCCAAGACAGCCATGTCCATGATATCTGCTAGCCGTCTACCTTCTTTGTAAGGTATTTTTTTCCTGATCACTTTGCAGTAGTCATCATTTTGTTCCCATTCTGCTTTTCGCCGTTTGTGGTATGACCTCCTCCATGGGTGACGCCAAGCTTTCCTAGGAGCGAGGCCTTTTGGTGGAAGAAAAACGGCAAAACTTCCTTCCAGTGTGTCTGGATGACCACAGACTGCGTGACCGGTGTCACAGTAGTACCCGCATCTTCCATGAAAACATAGGTTGTTGGCTGCAATTTAACAACATGCACGACTTACATACACTGTAAACTTGTCATACAAGTCCGTAGATTAACTCGTCAAACTAATGCAGGCATACATCTAGTTTAATTAACCATTTGTAATTATTTTATGTTGATCTTCACGTTTCAGCAGTCAAAAAATATATTAAGGATAATGACAGATTTTAGAGTTTTGAGCCCTATATATTATATCGTTTTGAAATTTCTTTACAGAAACGAAAACTACAAACATTGATTTCCAACCAATCATTTAGTAACATGGAGAAACTAATATCACAGAAAATATTCTCATAAGAGTTTAATCTCAAAATAAATCAAGTAACTGATTTAATAAATTTCATGTAAGTGAAACTGATAAAATAAAGAAAATATCAAGTACGAAACAGATTTTATCAATAAATAATTGACTCTCTTGTATTTCCTTCAACCAAGGCTTACAAGGAATTTCAAAGTCACAGATATATTAAATACAGAAGTTGTTAACGTTACGAAAAATACACTGCCCTAAAGAGAATATGGACAGCGAAACTTCTGGCTCAGCACAGAACTTAACTTTCATAATATGTTTGTACGTCAATAATAGGTTAAATGGAAATATAGATAAATAAACGGAAATATAGATATAAAACAATTTTATTAATAATTTCTAAACAATATATTTTTCCATTAAAAAAAAATAAAGTTTGCATATCCATGCAATTTCTACTGGCAGTGCAATTCATCACCGGGATGTTTAGTTCATCAATGAAAAAAGAAGATTTGTTAAATTAGATTCTGAACCTATTTCGTCCTAACGTATTTCTCAAGAAGCCAGTATATATCATTCAATGATTTGTGTTACGATTAAAACTCGCCCATTAAAATGTGATTTTTTTACTTAACATATATTTTATGTACAGATCTCATGCACATTTATTTCCCACAGGATGTTTTTACTTTAGCAACTGAATGGCACATTATTTTAAACACTTAATCAATCTCCCCTTCTTGCTCTTAACTACTATGTGTAATACTCAATTAATGACTTGAAAGCTTGTTTAAGAACAAATCAATTTTGAAGCTACTGTTTCTATATAATTAACAATACATTTTCTTTTTACATGAAAGTTAATTTATTGATCTTTACAAAAAATTTAACAATAAAATATGGCGTTCTTATAAGTTCCCGTATACCACCCGTTCGTTTCCGCGGGCTGGCGTTATTGTCTTGTCGATGTAAATCTGCCAGTACGTTCGTTTTTAAACATAATTAAGCACGTATTATTCCCAGGATAGTTATTTCTATCCTGAACGAAAAATTATTTGAAGTTCAATATTTATACTACATTTATAATCTAGAATTTATACAGTCGTGATGCTGCTCAGAACAAGTCACTTTTATTAGGACTTGTTTTTTATTTAGGACAAAATATAGTGTTAAAACAAAACAATTTAACAGAAATCAATATTTTCCCTCATCCCTATATTTATAATTCCTGTTATATCGATAATACAGAATCAATGTTATATAGATGCAGAAAATTGGCGTAAACAACGTCTGTATTAGTTTGAAAAAATTTATCACAGAATGATGCTCACGTTTGTGTTATATAATGTACATGTTGTGTTAGTTATTTTGATTGGCAAACATAATTCTGAATTTTGTAATGTATAACGTAATAAACTAGTTCAGATTAGATGAGTAAATGTACTGAACTTACTGATTCTAGTAAACCTTTACAGCATTTGTCTGTTTTTTGTTAAGTTATCAATAATATATAGTTGGTTCGTCATTATGTTGAAAGTTATTATTTTTTTAAGTAAAGTAAAGGTAATAATTATGGAAATGCACAGGTGATACGCATGTAAGAGTCACGAACAATGAGTTGTTTCAACTAAATGGTCAAGGCATCATTAATACCGTAAATTATCATAATAGGAAATACAAAAGAAAATTGAATGGGTGGGATAATGTAACAGTATGGCTTTCTAAACAGAGTAGTGCGTTTTGTTTCTATGTTGCCATAAGTTTACCATCGTATGATTTTGTAGTCTTGTTCCACATATTCTGTATTACTACCCACAATTCAACAGAGTTGTTTGACTTTCTCATTTTCAGTATAAGCCCATAAAGCTGTAACTAATATTCATAACCGGACTTTGTACAGGCCAAGCCACATTTGCATCTCCCCGTCCCACCAATAGGTATTACCTTACCACATTTTATGAGTGTTTGGGATCACAGTGTTGTTGATGAATGAATTCTTGACAAGCTGGTCTTATTTCTGGTGTAAAATCTACATCTGTACTTATAGCTACGCCTTAGGCAACATTTCTATTGGATTATTGCCTATCTCGTATAGAGAATATCCTGATCTACGAAGCGCTACTTTTGTAGAATTCTGGTGTTTTACCTCAACCATTGCAATTACCAGCAGTACGACTAGTTTCACCGCCTTATTTATAGTTTTCATACAAAGCCTATTGAAACCTTAACTTTCGCTTCAATATGTCATTAGCCAAAATGTCCGTTTCTAGAAGTTTGTTGTGAGATATTTCTGTTCTGGGAGCCATGAGTGCAATTACCGTACTATTACTGTGAAGAATATGACTGCATATACTTTTATAGGCACTATGCTAACATAGATCCGTTTCGTGACAGTAAATCTCAATGTCAGCTAGCAACACATGGCTGTCATCTGATGTAGTTAATTTTCATACATTAAAGGGAAGGTATGATTTAAAGATGTAACTAGCTGCTCTAGTTATATCTAAATAAATACGCTAACAGCTGTATTTTTCTAAAGGTAAGCTACTAATATTTGACGAAAGAAACCTACCGCTAAGATACAGACAGCACTGATGGTAGGATTCTTCGCTTTCAATTTTTAAAAGGTAAGAGAAAAAAAAACAACGTTGTACCGTTTAATTTAATATTTTGATAGATGAAATATTACTGTTATAGAAAAACATTTAGGAACTCCACCTGGTGAGATAAAGAACGTCTTTAGTAGGTCCATTTCGGCAAGAGCATATATCTCTGAAGTAATATTTAATATCCTTCCAACCACTGGTGGTGCCCTGTTAAATCCTAGCAACCTGGAATCAAACATAGAACAGGATTAACAGAAAGGTTGAAAAGTAATATAATATATGAAGAAAACTTTAAGAACAATGTTTATTTCGGAAACAAGTTTAAATATATATATGAAACATATAAACATTATAATTACCTGTTTTCTTAAAATACTTATAGAAAATCTTACGTACTTTTCAACACTTGACTTTGATACTACTGAAACAGATATCGCGAAATTGAAATATTTCTGAAATTCAAAAACCTAGCGCATTAGAATACTTAAACGCCTGTAATGAAACAAATGAAACATTTATTTATCGATCATACGTTTGAAATGAAAAATACCTGTCAAGGTGAAAAGCAGCAATTTCACTGTTATGTCTTTCAAAATCCACAAAGTAAAAATGATTAGGATCAGTCTCTCGATCCCGAGGAAACCTATGTTCAAAGAAAGCTGTTCTGATAAATAAAATCTAATTTATACAAATACAAAAATGACAAAGAAACTCGAGAAGCATGGTGACACACGTCGGTTGCCCGGTGAGTGGAAATATTTATATTTCTACACGAGAATCAGGTATTTAATATTGGAAATCAAATTGCATTCTTTATATACGTATGAAATAAAAAATGCACTACATATATTCAAAAAAAGTAGGTAATGCTGATTATTTTTATGCCATTTTTTTTATCCAGCATAAATCTTGCTCTCTTTTCGTTTTTAATCAACAGTACTTATCCATATTAGTTTTATTTTAAGCATTATCTTCATTAGGCTAACCAAACATATCTGGAAGAAGTTATACTCTTTTAGTTATCGAAGACAGATTATTCTTTCAACAATTATCATGCACTTATTTACTACTTATAAAGCTATGCAATGAGCTAGCTATCTACGGTGTCCATGCAGTAAAAAAAAATCCAGAATTTTAGCATTATAAGCCTTCAAACCTACCGTTAAGATACAAGGAGAAATTTTTATATAGAAAACAAATCATTCTTATCCTGAATATTATCTACAAATCATAAAAATGACACTTTAACAATCTCCCTTCAACAGACCAAAATAAAATATATATAGCTCTGATGAATGATTGTTTACAGAAACATCATCTTTAAAAAAAATATATTTTATTTGAATGCTTATCTTGTTGTCTAATTTAATTATCTAAAATCATACTGTTTCTTTTACACAATGATTATTCAGAACAAGTGTTATTTTAGTAACTCTATAATTTCAATTGGATTCGTTTTTTAAATTGCTTATTCAGCTCAAGTGTTTAGGTTCAGTGCGTTTTTCACAACATTGCTTGTACAAAAAGGTTACTTTTACCTTATTAGTTGTATGACATGGGTGTTCATTGCTCTTCACCATTGCTCATTATTAACAAAAGTTCTGAGCTATAATGGTTTCTCTTAAACATTTATCCACAATTAATATTTTTCCTTGAACAAGTACAGACAAACTGGTTTTTGAACAATACTTACCTCAAGAAGAAACATCTTCAAACAAAGAGTTATCTATGACTACAGTAATTCTAGCTGTACAAATCAAAAAAAAGAGCAGAAAGTAAGAATTCATTACATATTATATTTTTGTATCAGATTCCTTTCTCGACTCGCAATCTTAGGGTCGCGAGTTCGAATCTCCGTCCCACCAAACATGCTCGCCCTTTCAGCCATGGGGCGTTATAATGTAACTATTCGTTAGTAAAAGAGTAGCCCAAGAGTTGGCGGTGGGTAGTGGTGATGACTAGCTGCCTCCCCCTAGTCTTTCACTGCTAAATTAGGGACAGCTAACGCAGATAGCCCTCGTGTAGCTTTGCGTAAAATTCAACCAAACAAAACCAAAACCTTTCTATAGGCAATCCCGACGGAATAATTTCAAATAGAGGCGTTTATATCCTAGCCGGCAATACAAGGCCTTGCAGTAGTAATATGTATACAAAGTAACATAGTGTAGTAAAACCAGTGTATAACGTTACTTTTTTTATTTTGGTTTATAGCTTTAACGACTATATAAATACATTGTCGTACGTACATATATAGAGGTGATCACATGTAGTAACAATGTTTTATGTAGTCATTAACTGACAAGAAGTTCAAGAAGAATGGCTACATTACAATAGAGGTAAAGCATGAAATAACAAAGGCAACTTGTAGCCCTTTTTTACGTTCAATATCACCGACTAATTCAAAATGGATTTGTACATGAAACGTTCGTTGACATAACGACGTCGAAAGCAGATGTTCTGTCACCATTGTTAGAATGCGATTTTATAATGGTGTTTTAAATACATTCAACGCAATGCTATTACACTCAATTTTATTCTAAATGTCTCTCTTCGATATAACTATTGGAATTATAAAGTGTTACGCAATATGATATGTCAAATCATCATATTTTTAATTAATGGTTAACCATTTTAATAAAGTCGTGAAAGAAAGTCCTTTGGTTTCATTGATATTAAACAGGTATTGTAATAGAAATATCAATTTTAAGTTACGGTTAAAAATAAATAGAATTAATTACGATAAATGACGTGATATTAACTTACGTTTGCTGTTAATAAACATGTAATTTTTAAAATATTTATTGTCCCCCCTCAGTGTCTGCGGACTTACAATGCTAGAAACCGGGTTTTAAGTCAGTGTTTGGATTATGTCAAACACACTAATTACAACGATATTTATCCAAACATGAGAACAGATCCTAATCTAAATTTTCATTATGAAACCTGAGTAGTGTTTAATCTCATTCAGCTACAGAATCTAAAGTACTGACTTTATTCCCATTCTACACTAACACGCCTCATTAAATGTTAATTTTCAAATCTACGTTATGAAACTTGAGGGCATGTCATTTTTCAAAACTAAGTTACGAAACATGAGCTCATGTTATTCTCAGAGTAGACTATGTCGCCTGAGAACATTTTCGGAATGAGATCCAAATCATCGAACAAGAGTTTCAATCCTATTTGAGATTTTACTATAAAATCTGAATGCATATTTCAATCCTAGGTTATCAAATCTGTTATTAACCTGCAGAAAATTTACATGAGTAGTTTGCTCTCGACAAGTGTAGCTTGATCTAATATTGTTAAGCAAACATAGAGTAGACGTTTTTTCATTTTGCATAAATATCTGTTTATTTAAATTAGACAAATGTTAAATTATTATGTTTTAAAACATGAGTCATATAATCCCAAATATCCTACTGATAGAGAGAAGTACAAAAATATAACGATACTGCTAATACATACTTGGATGACCTGGAGATGTTCTTTTCTAAATGGCTTAGTCCCCACGTCGAGGTAGACTAAAATGCACCCGGAAGGTGGCACTTGCATGACGGGGGGGGGGGGGAGTCTAAGAGTAAGTTTTCAGGATCATGGTCATCTCGGGGTCTCAGCGCCGCCATTTTTGAAACACTATATTTCCTAACATGCTGGCGTGATTAAACATGGCGTATGTGCTCAGTACCGAGAGTGGAAGGGAAATTCTAATAGGGTTTGTTTAGGCGGGCTCTTGGGTAGTTACAGAAGTAATTGGGAATAATAGAACAGTTACATTGAGACCTCTGTGAGTAATGGAGTGGGTGTTTGAAAAATGCAGTGGAGAGAAAGCATTTTGTGTTTGTCCAATATTAATTTATGCTGTGTGTTTGTGAATTTATTTGTTTGTCCGCTAGTTCTTCTCATAGTTTTGAAGCTAGCAAGATCAAACTTTGCACAGGTGCTCAGGTACCACTGGCGGGGGTCCTAACATTGTTTTTTTCGGATCGGGACTTCATTAGAATAGCCCTTTACTAACAGGATAAAATGCGCCCTTAAGGTCTCTCAGGCATGATGGAGACTATGAGTCGATTTTCATGGTCGCTGAACCCACATTGAATATAGGATTTTACGTTTCTGGCCGCTCTCCTGATCCTGGGGTGCTATGTTTGAAACTATATTCATACCCACACTCACAAGCTATCGGAACGAAACTTGGCACATGTGCTCAAGTTCCACAGGCGAGTGTCCTAGCTGGGCTTTATTTTCTGGTATGGACCTCCCCATTAGGATAGCTATATGAGTAATTGGAACAACTGGAGGAGGTATCGTTTTCGTTTTTGAATTTCGCGCAAAGCTACACGAGGACTATCTGCGCTAGCCGTCCCTAATGTAGCAGTGTAAGACTAAAGGGAAGGCAGCTAGTCATCACCACTCACAGCCAACTCTTGGGCTACTCTTTTACCAACGAATAGTGGGATTGACCGTCACATTATAACGCCCCCACGGCTGAAAGGGCGAGCATGTTTGGTGGAACGGAGATTCGAACCCTCGACCCTCAGACTGCGAGTCGAGCGCCCTAACCACTTGGCCATGCAGGCCCCTGGAGGAGGTAGATCGTTACACTGGGGCTTCTGTCAATCATGAGAGGGCATTTGAGCCCCCTCAGTAAAGAGCATATTTTCCAGGTAGTTATGTGACTTGTTCATAATTCCCACCATAACTGCGGAAGAAATAATTAAATAGTTATATCAGTGTCGGTGATTATGAGACTATTAAGTACGTGAGTTATTACAAAAAGAATTCATTGTTCCTTTAGATCGATTTATCGATTTACTAAATAGAAGTATTCTTTTGTCCGATGTTGCCATGTTGTTTTTTTCTGTAAGGAAATTTCTAAAGAAAAAATTATTCTCATGAAAGAAGAAAAGTGAAAGAGAAACTAGGATAAAAAGATAAATACACAGTCGTTTATCAATCAACTTGAATAAAAGGACAAAATATTATCTGAATGCCATGTAGAGAGTTGCAAAATTCCTGATCACAAGTAACAGTAAAATACTGTTTATGGGTGAATGTCTCCTTTGTAAATAATCCAACTCATCCTGGAGAGTCTTTGCTACATTTGTTATGTAAAACAGCCCTTTGAATCTGAGTTACGTATGTAAGTCATTGAAACATTACGCACTTAGTATCAGTAGCAATGAAACAGTGAGAACAACTCTCCAAATGCCTTTGATTTATTTTTGATTTTGATCGATTCTCTCTTTTTTCAGAAAATGCTGTTTACAGCTTTAACGACGGAAACAGAAAAGAAACTGTCGATTTGGTATGGCCAACAAGTGCAGTAAAGCTGTCGATACCTTAACACTAACGGATGGGCTGTCTGGACTTGAGATGAGCTTTTCTTATCAAAGGAACTAACGAACGATGGTCAATATAATTTATTTTTGTCTTTTTTTTAACATTCAGAACAACACATCCATGTCACATTTGTCATGAGGAAAAGACGATATACAACATTAATGATACAGAGTTTTTGGAGACACTGTCAGCTTGTCGTTAAATATGAAATGTATGAAAATTGGATATAAAATCAATAGTTATATAAGTAACGAAGCTTAATAATTAATACGATAAAAAAATAAAAAGGATAGGCGAATAAAAATATTCAAAAAAACGCCTGTTCTCTTAAAATGGCGGCCAAGAGCGGTATGATAATTGCGTGGTGGTCTGTGATCTTGACAGTCTTTAGTTTACGTCTCGTTGCTGCAAAAACGCGCTCCGCACTTTGAAGCAGCGGGTGCGTTCAAGGACTGACTATCAAAACCAACGTTTCAATTAGAATAACCAAAAATTTGCAATGTGTGCCACAGATTAGCTGTCTTCTCTCTTCCCTATAGTTCATCATATCGAAATAAGGACGACTAGCATAGCTCTTGTGTAACTTTGAACGAATTCTAGGAAGCAAACTAACATTATGGATAAAAATGTTCATTGATACTAATGTTTTAAGGAGAATTAGCTGGTTTTTGTTTTCATATAGAACATAAATACTTCATATTTTATAACTCCAAAGCCAGATGTTCACAGAATGCATAAACATTTTATAACTTCGAAGCCAGACGTTCACAGAATGTATACACGTGTTATAACTTAAAAGCTAGATGTTCACAGAGTCCACAGACCTTTCATAACTCCAAAGCCAGATGTTCACAGAATGCACTTGAAACCAACACAAGAAACCACTAACACACAGTTTATCTGTTTAGTAGACAACAGAAATGAGGCTCCAAATATATTAAATGGTTCTCATTCAATCATGACGACCTTATACATTTATTTCTTACACTGAGAAACATTTGATGTGATGTATTTCATAGTCTAGCAACACAAATGTTATTGTGTGAACATATTGCAACTTTTGCAGCTTTCTGGGAAAAACTGACAATAATTATCTGAAAACATTCTGATGATTTATTTGAATGATTCAGTAGTACATATTTTATGTATATTAGATAAATATTACGAAGTTTGAAAATGTGTTTGTTAGATAAATGATATTCTCCCTGTGATAAGGAAATTTGTACTCATGCGAATATTTTAAATTTTTTTCATAAAATAATAAAATTCGAAAAATGTAATATTTTCATTGAACAAATTAGGTAATGATGTATATAAATATATGTAAGTGATTAATGTTTTAAAACGTGTCAATTTATTTGGTTTTATGTTCTTTTTATGGACATGACTTCCGTTTCCAGAATTATAATAGTATCTTATCAACAGGGGAGGATTTGTAAAACGTGTGAGCATAATAATAGTACTGTTGAATAATAACTGCTTTAATCAACATAGCTTGGGAATTACTATTAGTATACGCATCTCTTATTGTCATCCCTAATAACTTAGCATATTTAAAAAAGAAAGGCACTGGGGATGTAGGAATTCAATCACGCAACACTTTAAAGTCCATTTGTGATCAAGATCAACTTGTCTGTTGACGAAGTTACAGTGCTTTGGCCTGACTGGACTGCGACAACGTTGATAGAATGCTAAATACGACTCGAAGCGTCTTTTTTTACGAAGAACATCAGCGTACGCTGACCAGTTTTTAGTATGAATTTTTTGTCGTTCCTGTATGCTGTACATAATCAGTTTGTAGATAAACTGGTATGCTGTATTTTAAGAAAAACTATGTTCATCATAATTGTAATGTTTTTCTACACTTCACCTTTAACAGAAGATTGAAGATTTATTTGCCCAATGTTGAAGATTATATTAAGGCAATTTTTACAGAAATACATTGTGTAGTAGTCCTTTTATAAACACACACACGCACATATATATATATATAAAATTTTCAGTATATACAAATCCGTTTTAACAAGACATGAAACGTTCTCCCAAAACACATTATTTTTTCTTTTATAATTAAAACGAAGACCTGGAAACTGTTTTCTTTCAAATAAGCTTTTTGTTTTCGGACTATAAAAGATATCATCAGTTGACATGCAGGAAGAAAGAGAGATAATTTTGGAAAAATTAGAAAATAAAACAACCTTTACTTTCAAAATAATGATAATTTTTTTTATTTCAGCCAACGTTTAGGCTTCATCACGGATAGTATTACAAGAGGTAGACCTAATGAAGCCGCAATGTTGAAAATTTGGCTGAAATAATATTTTTTTTTTATAATTATCATTACGTGGAGAGTAAAGATTGTTATTTTTCTAACTTTATAGTTAAAATCCCTCCGGTGTGTAGTACAAGATCTGAGAAGGAATGGTTGGCCAGTTCACGTTGAGTTTATGTTGTTTCAATCGTGAGTATACCAAGCCGACTGGTTTTTCTTATAACCATCACAAAAATATAACTTTTTCGAATAGTCGTTGAAAGCTCTTGGTTTTTGCTACCATGGATAGAATTTGGTATCAAGCAAGAAGTGAACTCGATGGAAAATACAATGACAACATCCGCAAATGCTCGATAATCTGATTTGTTTTTTTGTAACTAAGCGCAAAGCTAAACAATGGGCTATCTGTGCTGTGCCACCACGGGTATCGAAACCCGGATTCTAGCGTTGTAATCCGCAGACATACCGCTGTGCTACTGGGGGCCGATAATCTGGAAAAAGAGTTACGGAAAAAAAAGAAAACGGGCAATAGAAAATCGAAAACAAACACACCAAAAAAAAAAACAACAGAATAATTAGATTTTTCTTCTTAAGTACTTTAGTCATTAACCTTTATAACATCTCACCTCATTGGCTTAAACAAGGCTTCCTCTCCATTGTCGTATTCAATTATCAGCTTCAGCTGGGTCCCGCCCTCTTTTTGCTCTAGTAAAATATATCATTAAAGTATTTATAAACAGTATCAAGAGGTTTTCGTTACAGTCCATACAAATATATGAGACATGTGAGCGTTTTAAATGTAAGCTAGAATTAATTCAAAAGAGATACACATAAAGAATAATGAATTATCGTTATCTCAAACTTCGCACTACTATAAATGAAAAAGTCTACTTACTAATGAAAATAAAACATAAAATGAATGGACATTTTTAAAATATCACAGAAACATTACGTAATTAGTGAAAGACAATAAACTGAAAATCACATAAAATAAACAGATAAATCAACAGATAAAGAAGCATTTAAGAGTATATTTAACGTGGTATCCTCATTAATGACGAACATCAATGACATATGCTGTAAAATAAAAGCAGCATTTCTTCTGATTTTAAGATATCAAAACCTGTTAGGGAAATTGTTTATAAAATCTCATTTACAATTTTGTTCAATTCTGTTTTCAGTGCATTTTAATGCTGATCCACAAGTAAGGAAATAACTTCAAACTCTGTAGACGTTGTTCATCTGAATAGAAAATTAAATAATTCTTACAACTAATGATCTTATTTATCTTCGGGAGGCAATAGGCGGATTTACATAAACTAAATATCGCGTATTCTAGACGCGCGTGACAAAATTCGAGTAGCAATAAAAACTTGAAAATAACTTTCTCGAGTATATTTTATCTGATTCTTTCCCAAAATATGAGAAATTTAGTATTTAATTAGACGATCTATTTTAAGTCAAAGAGCAACAACACAAGTACCTTTCTAATTATGGCTGAAAAGGTAGTTTAATTATAACAGTTTAAAAATCACTTCACTAGTAACTATTTTATTACTCTTTTTACCGAAAGAACTAATTACACACGTAGACGAAACGCATGCGTAAAATAAAATGATTTTTAACAAAGTACTTGTGGGAATCTAATTAAATACTTCGACTGAATTTTCCAGTTCAATATCGTATTGAATGGTAAGTTGTCTTAATAAGTTAAGACGATATTCAATCATATTTCTGATACTCAGTAATATAGTTTATATTCAAGATATATTAACTGCGTTCATCAATTCATCTTTCACCTAGATCAACCAGAAATTAATTATTTCGAACTATGAGTATCATTAAGTTATAAAAACAATATCTGAAATATGCATTTATCTCAGGCATAAAATATTTAGTGTCCATAACTTATTAAACTTTTTTTTTAATGAACAGGATAAGAACTACTGAACAAACACGGTTTGCGGTAAAATGTAGGCTAACATCACAGGTTTGTCCATGGCGAATGGCATCGTTAGTACACCTCGATATGGGCACCTTTCGCGGCTCGAAGTCTGTTCGAGCGATAATCGCTCTCCGCCGTTGCGTTGGTTATTCGATCATGCAACGTTTCCATATAGGGTACCTTCGTTTTATAGACAACGTCCTTCAGGTATTCCCATTTGAACTAGTGGAAAATAACTGCAGGCATTAGTCCCCCACATGTTGTAAACCACAACTGTGTATCTGGTGTGATTCCTATTCTATTCAATTAAGAAAATGATCCATTGTATATTTATACAAAATAACTGTTTCCAGGGCATCTCTAGTGTGTTTGGAGTCGCTTCAAGAGCTGCACGCGTCTCCCTATATGATATCCAAAAAAGGAATGGGATTGAAACCCAGTGAGAATGTAGACAACTCCAATCAGCCAATCCCATCTTTCTTATGGACGGTGTTGACTACTTTCGTGCCTTATTAGGCTGAAATCAGAGCCAAGTGCAAGAACACGTGGTAAAACAAAAGCATGGGTCAGATTATTTACAGTAGGTGTCTGTGACTTGTTGGAGATACATTTTAACAATAAAGAAACAGCACATAGTCCACTTGTTTTGAAATAATATACTAAAACAAGTCAGACGTTTATACAAATGTTCGTTACACAGTTACTTACCACAGTTGTATCCAGAGCTTTAAATAATCGTCTCTTTTCGTTAAAGTCCACACAGGCTAGTTCAATAATGTTAGCCATTAATGGTACCATTCCACAAGATGTTGATGTAGTAGCAAGTCCATCAGTTCATATTCCTTCTCACACCATACTTCTACCACTGTCACATTATTCTGTGAAAATGGGACTGGTTCCGGATATGAGCATATTTCTATTATGTGGCCACAGGGAGAAGCGCGACTCATCTCTTGTTCGGTATACTGACGTCCAGTTGAATCTGAAACTGTCTGATTCATTCTCGAATGTTAATCGACAGGTAGTGACCATCTGCTTGTGATATGTATGGTATTCTGTCTTGTTAAGTGTCTGAGCAAACTTACCACTGGTTTGAAAGTGCTACAACATTCTGCTAATGACACTTTCGTCTGGTAATTCTTCACATTACTGAAACATGTGACCTCCTTGAGGTCTATACAAGTTTCTGAACAATTAGAAATGTGCGCTTAAGTTAAAAGTAGTAAATCAAATAAGATTGTTTGGAACCAATATATATATATAGCCCAGGATTGACCACTAGATATACGACTTGCTTAACAGTGAATGAAGAAATGTGATTGATATTATTTTATAACAGTAGTTTTACTTTGTCAAAGCTATAATAATATACATTCTGATTATTAGAATAAAACCATAGAATAAATTTCTCAAAAACCAAAATTAACTAAGTGAAACATCTAAGAAACTCTGATGATGACATTATTTTGTAATGTTGCAAATTTTATTAAGAAAAAAAATATCAGAAGTTGTCTATATTCTAAATTATGATGAAGTATTTACCAACATGAACAATTGGCATGTTAGCCATGTCACTGAGAAGATCGTCCACAATCGGATCATCACTTTTATATAGTTCATTCTGACTGATGCTTAGATGAAACACTTCCCAGTCTGTAAAATTTTTCCTACTGTATCTGTAAAAATATATATATATATAATTTTAAACTACAATAACTTTAGAAAATAAACGTGTTACTTATGTACCAATAGCCTTTTCGCTACTTAATTAATAAATATGAATAAATATTGATCAATTTTGTCCTAAATCAAAATTTCAATTTTTAAACAATTAAGTTCCTTAACGTTTAAGGAAATCATAATGACAATTATGTTTATAACTCTGAAACATGATCTGCTTATCTATTGCCTGAGTAATCTGATAAGAAAATACACTTTCGTCACAGATATGCATTTACATATATGTAAAGCAGAGTTGTTCGTTTATTATATATATATGTATAATTTTAGGACAACAAAGGATCTGTTGGTCCATTTAGGCTGTCCCACCCTCTAAACTAAACTTTATAGTTAAAATAAAACATTCAAAGCACCTCTTATCATTCAAATATTTATCAAGCCTTCGTTAAACTCCCTTAACGCTACTGTTCTACTACATCTGAATGCAACCCGTTCCAAAAATAAAGCTGTCTTAGCTGAAGATGATTCTTATCCTGCCAAAATTTATACTTGTGTCTTTTATCCTACCATTCTCACCATTAAGTATGCAAAAATATGATGCATAAACAGTATCAATTCCCTTAACAATCTTAAACACCCCAATCAGATCCTCCCTGACTCTTTTTTTTTTCAAGAGAAAGCAATTCCTAAGATCTTAACCTGTTCTTGTATGACAACCTTCCTATTTCAGGTGTCGTTCTAGTAGCTTTCATCCTTTCAAATCATTCAATGTCCTTCCTAAGATAAGGTACCCAAGACTGAACCCAATACTCCAAATGTACCAAAACCAGTGATCTGTAGAATAAAATTACAGCGTTTTTATGTTTTTATTTAGTATTTCTGTAGATACAACCTAAAACCCAATTTGCCAGCCACTAGCAAATGTACTTTGTTTGAACGGCTTAAGAGATTGATAAACTAAAACAGTTCTTAATCTGTCAATCTTTCCAATGCCAAGTCAAGTGTCTGGTGTCACAAGCTATGAGAAAGTGGCTGAAGAAATGCTAAAAAAAATTATTTGGTAACCTTCCAAAGATGTTCTTCTTTGGTTCCTCTTAATTGGCTTATAACGTAAAAATCTAGGGTTCGATTCCACGCGGTGGACTCAGCGCAGGTTACTCATTATGTAATTTTGTGCTTAAAACAAAACAAATCTCCAAACAACACGAGTTTAACAACGATTTCAATTTCATCGCAATGATACGCACGAGAGCTTAAATGTGCGAGGCAACAAAATACGCGGGGAGACGCCAACAAAAACTACTTTAATGGTGTGCGTAGCACAGGTACCTTTGCGTAGAACTAACGGTTCGCGTGCTGCGACTTACCTGATTTCTTACTTACAGTCAAATAGAAGAAACATAAAATACATGAAAATTCTGTCTTGTGGTAAGCAACAAACACAGGCAAACTGTACACTCATTTTGCCTTTTGCCACAAACAAAAACTGTAAATACGTTGTGTATTTGGTTACAAACAAAAAGTATAAACCTACTCTGTATTTTGTCACAAGCAAAAGCTGTAAATTCATTGTGTATTTTGTCACAACCAGAAGCTGTAAATCCATTGCATATTTTGTTACAAGCTGAAGCTGTAAATCCATTGTGTATTATTTCACAAGCAAATTTTAAAACCATTGTGTATTTTGTCACATGCAAACTTTAAATCCATTCTGCATTTTATCACTAATAAAGAACAATGATTTTAAGCGTTTGTCGTTTTCGATTTAATGCATTTACAGATAAAATTGATATAAAACCATATAAATATATGTAAAGTACAGTAAATGAAAGATTAAATCAATTAACTAACGACATTTTATAAGTTCGTGGAGTTACAACGCTAGAATCTGGGGTTCGATACCTGTGGTGGGCAGAGCACAGATAGCCCATTGTGGAGCTTTGTGCTTAATTACAAACAAACAACATTTACTCATTGAAATTACAAACTTCATAAACTGAAAAGGCAGTTTCTAATTATTAAACTAATTGGATATCATGGAAACTTATTTTTAGATATTCTTATACAAGTCATTCGTTGAACTGTGAAATAAAAATAACAAAACTTAATAACATTAGTTAAATAGCAAGTTGTTAACGAGATTCGCAAGTGGGACTTTTCAACGACTTTCTCTCGCACGTGTTCCAGAGCGAAAAAGTTATGAATGTATCACGGCAAGGGATCTGTTAAATATATATCACTTGATTCTGTCGTACATTCAGAAACGGGTAGCGTAGGTTTTGTTTTCCAGGTAAAGAAGCTCTAGAAAGTTATCTGTTCGCAGTCTGTATATAAATAAATACGCCACCTCCCATATATATATATATATATAACGAGAAACAAAAGCCTTTATTCTGAAGACAATTTCATCATTCAAACAATCATCTAGAATATATGCGTCTCAATTGAATATCAGGCATTTATTATGTCTAAGATCACACCATTTAATGTATCTTGTATTAGCATAGTATCACATCATTTCACACTCTACAGTCTAAATTCCTAGTGGTTTAGTGGTTGGGCTACTTGATTCGCAATCTGCGGGTCGATGGATTAAACGCATCGCCCAACATGCTCGCCCTTTCAGCCGTGGGGGCGTTATAATGTGGCGGTCAATCCCACAATCATTTGGTAATGAATAACCCAAGAGTTTGCGCTTGGTACTGTTGACTAGATGCCTACTCTCTAGTCGAATATCTATCCGTGAAATACATCAAGTAAACAATCGTAATATTCCTATTGTGAATTTAAGCCACGTTATTGTCAAAAGGCAGATCGAGCAGATTTTTGGAATTTAATATTTTGCACGTTCCAATATAATAATTCTTAAAAAAAAATCCATAAAGAGTTTTGAAAGTATAGGAATATTTGGTTTATTCTTATTATTCATAGGTGAAGAAATTACATTGGCTGACCACTTAATTAGGTACCTGTGTATAATAAAATACTCGTAAACATATCAACGCCCAAATATTGAAAACGTTCTTGTTTCATTATTTTTATTGAGGATAAGATAATAATTATATTGATTTAAAGAAGTATTTTGTTAAGTTTAGTCTAGTTTAGAATATCCTCCATTTAAAACAATGCTTAATTTTATGGAACGAAAATGTTCGTTTCTTTAAGAAAATTTAGTGAAACGCCAATAATCGCTTTTTGAATAAACTGTATTAATAATTACTTCTCCGAAAGAGGCAAAATGCTGCTTGGAGAGGTCACCTGTTTTAACCGCTCGCACCTCTATACTGTAGTGTGTTGTCTGCCAGTCAGTCAGTAGACGCTAAAATGACGTCAAATAAGGTGCGCTTAACGTTACAATTTTTACTGTAACTAGTAACTGTAACTACAATTTTTACTGATACTATCGTCAGTAAAACGTGCTCATGCCATGAATCACAAAAAGAATTATTCATTCTGTAGGTTACAACACAGCATGATATATGAAGTTCAAAAACAATAAATACAAATATATGTTAATCGTAATTTTAGTTTTATTTACTCTTGAAACAGAACACTTTCGGGGACCCTGCGAAAGTACATTTAGTATAGATGTATTCCATGAAAACGTATTTTACAGCAGTCACTGTCAGTTGAGTTCATTACATTAAAACGATTTTAGAGCCTAATCATGTTATTAAAATTAATGTAGCAATGTCCAGTCATACTCTTTCTGACGACCGTGCATCTTGACACTAGTGCTGCAGCATAATTTCCATAATAAAAGGCTCCGTCATAAGACTATCGTTTTGAAAGCACACCAAATCTTCCAAAAGGTTTTTCATAGGTTATGACTGTTACGTACACTTCCCAAAAGCGACCACTTGTCGATAGCATCGCACTACCTACGGACGCTAATTTCAAAACGTAGTTCTGATACATACCTTTCCTCTGCGACTTTGTTTTGGCTGTGGTTGTCGTTACCTGACTTGGTTTATGTTAAAATTCACACTACAACATGTATAACATTTTAAACATATTCTACAAAATTAAGTGTATAAATTGCTCTTCTTCACAAATCATTGCTCAACAGCATTTTCTAATTATCTTTGTTTTATAATGTTTCAAGCATACTTTTTAAAAATAACTATATAAATAAACCTTTATATTTCAACATGGTGCTGAGTCTGTAAGTTTTATTTTTGCGTTAATACTCTACAACATTCCAAATATAGTAATGTTCTATAACGTTAAAACATGTTCTGAAATTGCATTCATACAACATCTCCACAATAAACTTACATACACACTATAACATTTATGACATGATATTGTTGTATAACGTTACAAATGTACTCGACAACAATCCATCTATTCCACATCCTCTACTGCAAATGTACACTATAACATTTAGAATATGGTATAATCCTATAACAACACTATAGAACATGTTCTACGGTACAAACACATTTTCAGTATTCACCATATAGTATTGTTCTGTAACGTTACAAGCAGATCATAATATTCACCGTATAGTATTGGTCTATAACGTTACAAACATATTATAATATTCATCATATAGTATTGGTCAATACGTTACAAACACATATTACAATATTCACCATATAGTATTGTTATATAACGCTACAAACGTATTACAATATTCACCATATAGTATTGCCATATAATGTTACAAACATATTACAATATGCACTATATACTATTTTTATATAACTCTTCAAACACATGTTACAATATTCACCATATAGTATTGTTATATAACGCTACAAACGTATTACAGTATTCACCATATAGTATTGTTCTATAATGTTACAAACATATTACAATATTCACCATATAGTATTGTTCTATATGTTACAAACATATTACAATATGCACTATATACTATTGTTCTATAATGTTACAAACATATTACAATATTCATTATACAGTATTATTATAAATTGTTATAAACATTTTACAATATTCATCATATACTATTGTTATATAACGCTATAAACATATTACAATATTCAAATGTTCTGAAAACTCCATTTGAAAATACTTGACTTTAAATGAATTAAACGCCAGAAACTTCAGAATTAGAGCTACCTACTAAATACTTTTATGGTGCATAACTAACTATACTAAGTGTTTTGCACATTCTGTTTTTGTATTTATTTATTTCTCTTAATTATGGGAATGATTGCTACATAACTATACTACAGATATACAAACTAGTTACGTTGTGCTGTTAAAGCACCGGGAATGACCCAGTGGTTAGCTTGTCGGGCTTCGGATCAGAAATCCAAAGTCTGATGCTGCGATGTGCCGCTTTGAGATTTAAGATGTGGGTGCATTATAAAAGTAACAGTCAATCCCACTATTCGATTTAGAATAATCTTTTGGTGGTGGATATAGCTGACTGGTTACTTTTAGCCTGAACAGCAGTTCAATATTATGGACTCTATTCCTAACTAAGCATTAGGATCTTTAACCTGGCCCTCGAATCCGTGTGTCGTATAAACTATCGTTTAAGTTTGAAATACCAAATATGAAAATTTGTTCATAAAATTAATCAAAAACAATACAAGTAATAAGTAACATATCAAAATATCATTTGTAACAAATTTATTCCTGATGCTTTGTTTTCCTTATGAGCGTGTTTTGTTATTTTATTTTAACAAACTTTTATTTTCTTTAATTTATAAATTTTAGTAATATATATTTTTTCAATTTAAAAATTCTTTAAATGTTGAGTTGAAACCGGAAGTGACATTATTGATAAAAGTAAGTATTATGAAAAGAAAAGGTTGGTTTGTTCTTTCGACACATTATTATTTATACAATAAAATTTTAAAGAGGATAATAAAAAAATTAACGAATAGAATAAAGAGTCAAGGTGTGAGACTTACTTGGAAGTGATCCCTAACAAGTCCGCCAGAGTGGGGTTGAACGTGTTTTGATACCACTGCCTTCTGATCCAGTCTTTTCTTAGGGAAGAGCTGGCCACTAGGTTTAACAGGTCTGACAAATCCTCTACTTCAGTATTACTTAATTTAAATTCTTCTTGTTCGGTGTTGTCCGTCGGCGTCTTCACAGTTTCAGAAGGATACAACTGCGCCTCTGTACTACCTATGGCGTTTGAAGGTGGACTTCGATTGCCGGTAGTGTATATGGTCTCCCTTGAAACCTGGTTATCTTTTTTCCTTTTTATAAACCGTCTATGAAGGGTTGCATGAGTATCACTATTGAGTTCATGTGAAGAAACAACATTTTCAGAGTTAACAGCGACATTAAAACGTATCGTGGTTTCCCGTAGATTTGTTTCCATTAGCACCACTAGCGTTACAACACAAGCCAGAACAACTCCCCCTATTAGACGTTGCTTTAACTTCATTTCATAAACAATCCAATTAATTAATGAGAGTGAACACGAAGGTGGTTTTTCAATATCTAAATATGTTGAATAACTCAAATCTCCGTCTATCCCTGGTCTTTGAAGCTGAGCACAAATTAAAGATCAATTTACGTGGACACGGAGCCATCGTGTGAGAGCAGCTTCAGAGACATCGAGTATCGGCTCTTGGTAGCCCAAAAGGTAACTTATTCCCGCGTATTGGTTGCCATAGCAACAAATGTCCACCTCATGCTGACATCACCAGCTGCATCAAAACTATTCGTTGAGCTTTATCTTGCAGTCAGTTGCTTACGCATCTTCACAGCGCTGTAATGAAAATTCAACACCTCTGGCTCTGAAGAGCAGGTAGTTCGTAGGTTGAGCTCTTCTTGTCGAAAGTTACCATAAATAACACAATGTTAGCAGGCTATATCTGACGTAAAATCAAGATCGGTTGAAAGATATCAATATATATAAAATATCTATTTCTTATTTAACTTAACAATTAATTATATATAGTTGTTTGAAATTAAAGTAATCGCTAGCAGCATAGTTTGTTGCTATTAAGATTGCTTCTCTGGAACTTTCAAGCCAATATTTAGAGTTGGTTTTTAATATCAACTAATTTCAATGCTAGATCAAAATAAGGTTTAGAATTATTACATTTTTATTTATGTTATTTTGACTGTGTTAACATACATAGAAACATAAAAGAATGTAACTACTAATTCAATGGTGAAACATTTCAACACCCACCACAAGTTTGAAAAACAAAAACTATGGTTTGGACATAATACATGCAATAGTGTAAATTTATTGATACACAATAAAATCGTTTAAGATATATTATGTTAATGTTTGTTTAAACAATAACTTTTAAAACCTATGTATTAAGACTTAAAAAAATTACCGAATACAATTGAAGTGTTGTATTTTATATTAAATTTATAACAAATCAGGAATCGTATGTAGATTGTTACGTCAGATTCATTCGAAGCTTATTTTAGTAGATATTTAATACTCTCATATACAATATTACTGCAATCATAACCAAGAAATTGATTAATTAATACAAAAATCTAATTATTTTAGGCCAACATAGCCGCACGTTTTCGAAATATTTGTAGGAAGGAGCTATGTATTAATAAAATGTCACGTGTGCAACATAAGTAAAGGAAATACAATACAACATAAGTAAAGGAAATACAATACAACATATAATATAAATTCCTCAGAGAGAACTAAACAACAAAAGTTATGTAGCATTTTCACGCAATGAAAATGGGACAAAGTTTAAAAATTCAGTACGCTGTAAACAATTACAATAACACATTCCTTAAAATGTAAACAATAACACAGCGCAAAGCTCAGTGGTCTAAAGGTAAATATTATACCAAGTAGATACAAATATTACATTTATTTATTGTTCAATGTTAAAATGTTATTGCTCCTCTTTATTACAGATAATTTTCTGTAAGAGCTTCTTGTTAAAGCCTTCGAAGCTAAATTTCATTTCTTTGCTACTTACTAAGTTAATTAATGACAATTAAAATATTTTAAGGTATATAACTGACCCCAAAAGGAATGTATGGTACTATCTACTTTTTCTATATTTTAATTCAGTCCAAACGAAACATCCAATAAACTAGACCTATTTCATCTTGACGATTTCATAATTAGTTTTATCTAATGATATACGTACACAGATATATAAGTCACTTATTCACACCAATGGTTTTATAAGCATTGATTAAAAACTGTTAGGGTTACTGATCAAGTTTGGTTAACCCTTTCTGAAACCAGGTTGAAACAAACTGTACGGGTAAACTCAAACAAACCAAAAAATTGAAGAAGCCGTATGTATATATACTTGTCCACTTTACAATGTTGACAAAAATACCAATATTAATATGTTGGAATTTTGGACTTAGAGAACTGTTAAATGTAGGTCGCAATAACATCCACTGTAATGGAGGCTTACCTAAACAAAACTAACAAGATCCTGTGGAAATAAAAACTATTCATTCTGATACAAACAAGTAGTAACCGTACACTTCACTTTCATCATGGAAAATAAGTTTTCCATAGCAAACATAATTTAAAACAATCGTTTAAAGTGTGATATAACAGACGCAGGAACAAGAACACGTATATAAAATTACGAACATTAATGGTTGTCGATAGACTTACAACACAAAGTCAAATCATTAAGTGTAGAACAAATAAAGACGTTAGTTATATTATGAAAACTAAATAAATTATATGAAACTAGCAATGCATTTTAATTAGTATTCGTCTAAGCTTGTTTGTTTGATCCACTTGTATGCTAGTTAAACGTTTAATATTTATGTAGTTAATTTTTTTCTGTATTTTGATTGTACTTGTATTAGACTATCTAATGAAATCAAATAATATATCATTATTAAAGAAGGCTACTTTATGAAGAATATGTAAGAGAATGAAATGAAATATTTATTCTTCGGAAGAATAGCCTACAGTTATTTAGGAAAGCTTTAAATTTCTTGTTAAATATCTCTCGCTGTTGTTTTAATTTCATAGTTATGTAATACTGACTCCATAGCAAAGATTAATCTCAGGTATAAATGGTTTCAGTAATAGCTTAACCTAACCCATTAACATTCACAGTGTAAAAATTGACAATTTGATAAATGGATAGGCCTAGGTTACATTTAATGTGAAATAGGCTTAGTGCAAAGATTATCTTAGCCCGGTTCTTGATCAAGCAGACTAAGTGCTAAATTTGAATTGTGATATGGAATTAAAAGCCCATACCTAAATACGAATAGTCATATTTCCGTTTGGTGAAACATTCCAAGTTAACATTATGTTGTTTTTCTAGTTAGAAATAAATTGGTAATAAACATATTGACCAGCAGTCTTTTGGGACATGATCTCACAATAAGATTGGTGATAATTTTAACAAATCTTTTTCTACTGACATTTGATAAACGACTGATAGAAACAGCGCTTTAACCAGGGGTTCGTGTTTTGTATCGTTGGCAGTGGCGGTCGAGATGTTAGCATGCTCCTCGGGACGTAAAGAAAGATTTGTAATGTAATGCCACACAATCTGCCTATCAATAGATCACGCTTCACCGACATAAGGCGTTATATACCACAGCAATTGGTATATTATAAAAATGACTGATATAAATAGCGTTTCGACCTAGGTTTGGTGTTGTAATCCCAGCCGACATGATGAACTCTGGTATTGAAAGAAAAACTTCGTCGGCAGTAGTGTGCGACACACAAGGTGTTCAGTCGTGATGTTATTACGTTCTTCGTCCAGAAAACCCATAGTATACATAGTATAAGGCTAGTAAAGAAAAATTTGCTAAAACAGATTATCAGTCTTACTGTGATGTACTGTCGCATAGCATAAAGGATTATAGCAAATGTTATGTTTTATGAAAACACGGCAAACAGCTATGTTTATCCAGTTTATCGTTGCCATCTAGGAGTCGTGAAGAACCCATTACATGAGATAAACATGGAAATTACTCAGAAGAAAAGTGTATCAAAATTATGCCTGATTCATGATTATTTCGCGTGCTGTGTTAAAGCATTTGAAGAAAACTAGTTCAATCCTACCAGATCTTTAGGCATAATCTTGTAGAGCAACACAACATAAATTCATTCCAACTTATATGTAAGATTAGTAGTTCCCTCATGACAAATGATAAAACTTATCCTCAGTGCTCAGAAAATAATGATTGCAAAATCCTTTCAGCGTTATTTGAAATGTGTTTTTAGTTTTATTTTACTCACCACAGAACTTATGTAGAATTTGAAGAATATGTAGCATTATTGCTGTTAATTTATTCAGCAGACAATTTATTTCTTTGATTTATTTTTAATATAATTTCGGTATGTTGGTTTGTCAGAGGAATCCAACTATCAATTTCTGAAACATTTGTCTATCAATCTCAGTTGTTCTTCTGTGTTACTAGCGAGTTTCGTGTAATTCTGTGTCAACTCAGTTAGCGTTCACAAAATATCAGACCTACGTCTCGATCTTGAATGTCGCTTAACAGCTTGGAAAATAAGAGCCAAAAATAAGATCCACAGCACCTTTACACCTTTTTATCTATTAGTTCTTGGACTCACCAACTGTCATAAATCTACAATAAATTAGTAGTTATCACGTAACATCTTGATGGCATCTTACTGAGAACCAACACTATGTTGCTTTAAAAACAAGAATCGCTAATATCTCCTAATTGTGTTCAAAATATTTAATCTCAGCCATAATAATAATGTCGTGGCATCAATGTTCCAATTCACCATCTGAGAAAAGAGACTGCTCTTACAATGGTGCTTCCTCATATGACTTCTCACAAACAGCCACGATAAGTACTCTTAGTTCCTCTTCCTAATCAGTTTAGACAAGATTGTACATCATCCAAGTCAACCTGCTGATGAAACTTTAGGGAACTTGTAATTCAAGGAATTAAAGACGAATTATGAGTTACATCAGTTCCGAGACACACTGTATACTTTTCAGTTATAATTCACTTCAAGGAGTTGTAAACAAATAAAATACGGATCAGTCCAACCAGAACCAAATTGTTTACATTCCGCAGAAATATACCACAATACCCAATCACCGGACTTGAAGTTTTGTTGCATGTTTTGGGATAACATATCTTTTGATATACAGACGTTTTACCATTTGCTATCACATGAATTCAGGCTTACTGACTGTCACAAAATGTAGCCATTACACACAGTCCTGAAGATTGCAGTAATTCTGGGTGGAAAGTCATACACCATATCCCTAAGATTGACTGTTGCTCAGTTATCCGGAATGAATTTTAACATGTGGTAGGGGAATATTCCAGTCATTTCAGTCAGGTTAAGAAACTTAGGAAGCAAACATTGGACACTTTACACTGATCTTTCGGCCAAACCATCAGATTGAAGATGGCAGAAGTCTGTAAGCAACTGAGTATTGAATGAAGTTATCTCCTTGGTCAATGTGGGTTTCTCCAGGTTCACAAAAGTGTAATATTCATTGTACTGCCAATGCCTTTGTAAAAGCATGAGAAAAAGTGTTAACCAACTGAACGTCTATAGTCCTCTTGGTGAAGTAATCGGTATTAGCAAGCACATATCGAGTTAACATATTTCTTTGACACTTTATTGTGCCATTTACGATAGTCACTACTTCTAGCTATGAACCATAGAAAAAATAAACATGATGAAAAGTGACAAAGATTTATCGTGACAAACGACCTGATCTTTCACAATGTCATTACCATTGCCTTTGTCAGGTGGTATAAATATTTTGCTAAAAATTTTCTTGGTCGCGATTGATTATTTATTCAATAAATGTAGTTTATTTTCTATAAATAATAATTTCTTTTACTTATTTCAATTGTTTGAATGTGATAAACTTAACAATAATATCTA